CGTTAGTGGCGAAGTCCTACAGAGCTGCGGGACAGGCAGCCACCTCTTTGCATGCCATGGCCATTCTGCAGGTCTACCAGGCCCAGATGCTCAGGGACATGCACGAGGGTAGGACGGACCCAGGGCTCTTCAATGAGCTGCGTGCCGCCACCGACCTTGCTCTCCGAGCGACGAAGGTGACCGCACGCTCCCTGGGTTTGGTGATGTCCACAGCCGTGGTCCAGGAGAGACATCTTTGGCTTAATCTTGCCGATATGAAGGATGCCGAGCGGTCCCGGCTGCTCGACACCCCCATATCGCAAGATGGCCTTTTCGGCGGTGCAGTCGAGGACTTTGCCCAACAGTTCTCGACTGCGCAGAAACAGACTGAGGCTATCAAGCATATTCTGCCCCGACGGCCCGCTGCTGCCTCCACCCAGCCGACCGGGCAGAGTACTCAGTCTGTTCGCCGCCGAGGGCGCCCTCCTGCGACTCCCGCCCCTCCCGCCCGGCCCAAGCAGCAGCCTCCACCCGGGCCCGGTCGCGGAGGAAGTCGCAAGAAGGCGCCCCAGCCCTCTCCAGCCCCCCCCCCGCTAAACGCCGGGCCAAGCGGCGCTCCTGAGACGGGCTGCTCAGGGATGACGTGTTTTTCTCAGGAGGTGGTTGCAGGACCACTCCTTCCCCCGGTGGAGGGCCGGGGAGAATCTTTTGTTCTCCACTCCCCGCTGCTCACCCACGGGTGGGCAGCACCCTAATGTGGTTAAAGAAAGAAATAACACGTTCATCCCTGAGCACACAGAGTTCTTGGACGACACGGTGCGCCGCCCCCGGGCCGTGCACCCCTCGTCCTCCTCTGTCCCAGAGCCGGATGACAGTGCGCGCCGTCTCCGGACCGTACCACTCTCATCCCCCTCTGTCGCCAGACCCCTGGCAGAGCAGACCCCCGTGGAACGTTCGTCCTTCCCTGGTCTCCTCTGTCAGGGCGCGGTTCATGACTGCACCCCCACATCGGGCCGCTATGCCGTCCACGTCTGGGTCAGTCATACCGCCTCGCTGCCCCACCGACGGGAAGTCTGTGGTTCGCATGACCCCGCTGGTTCAGTCCTTGGGAGCTTGGTTAGAGCTTCCCAACCTGTCCCGCTGGGTCGCACGAACGATCAGGCTCGGCTACGCGATTCAGTTCGCGCGGTCTCCTCCCCGCTTCAGGGGAGTCCGCTCCACTATGGTCGGTGGCAATGCCCCTATCATGAGAGCGGAGGTTGCTACCCTGCTGGCGAAGGGTGCGATCGAGACTGTCCCTCCAGCCGAAATGAGGTCCGGGTTTTACAGCCCCTACTTCATTGTTCCGAAGAAAACCGGTGGGTTACGGCCAATCCTGGACCTGCGCGTATTGAACCGCTCCCTTCACAGGCTGCCGTTCAAGATGCTCACCGCCAAACGCGTTTTCGAATGTGTGCGGCACCAGGATTGGTTTGCAGCGATCGACCTGAAGGACGCCTACTTTCATGTCTCCATTCTCCCTCGACACAGACCGTTCCTACGGTTTGCTTTCGAGGGACAGGCATATCAGTACGCAGTTCTCCCATTCGGGCTAGCCCTGTCCCCTCGCGTCTTCACGAAGGTCGTCGAGGCAGCCCTTGTTCCCCTCCGGGAACACGGGGTTCGCATTCTGAACTATCTCGACGACTGGCTGATTCTAGCTCACTCTCGAGATCAGCTTTGCGAACACAGGGATTTGGTACTCCGCCATGTAGCCCGTTTGGGCCTTCGGGTCAACTGGGAGAAGAGCAAACTTTGCCCCGTGCAGAGGATCTCTTTTCTCGGTATGGAGATCGACTCGGTCGCCATGTCCGCGCAGCTTACGAGCGAGCGCGCGCAGTCACTGCTGACTTGCCTGAGACAGTTCGAGGGCAAGAGTGCGGTTCCACTGAAACTTTTTCAGAGGCTCCTGGGGCATATGGCATCTGCAGCCGCGGCAACGCCGCTCGGATTGCTTCATATGAGACCGCTTCAGCTTTGGCTTCGCGACCGAGTCCCGAGGTGGGCATGGCAACACGGCACGCTCCGAATACCAGTTACTCCGACCTGCCGTCAGACCTTCACCCCGTGGGGGAACCTCAGCTTTCTACGGGCAGGAGTGCCTCTGGAACGAGCTTCCCGGCATGTTGTTGTAACGACAGATGCCTCCACCACGGGCTGGGGTGCCATGTGCAATGGACGTGCTGCCGCGGGCTCCTGGACAGGACCCCACCGCTTATGGCACATCAATTGCCTCGAGTTGCAGGCTGTACGTCTTGCTCTGCGCCGCTTCCGGGCCGTGCTCAAGAATCAACACGTACTAGTCCGAACAGACAATACCGCCACTGTAGCGTACATCAACCGTCAAGGTGGTCTGCGCTCCCGCCGTATGTCGCAACTCGCCCGCCACCTCCTCTTTTGGAGTCAGAAGCATCTGAGGTCGCTTCGAGCCATTTACATCCCTGGAGCCCTGAACTGTGCAGCCGACGAGCTGTCACGGCTTCAGCCCCTCCCCGGAGATTGGCGACTCCATCCCCAGACGGTTCAGCTGATTTGGGACCAGTTCGGGGACGCACAGATAGATCTGTTTGCCTCTCACGACTCGACCCATTGCGCCCAGTATTATTCCCTGACCGAGGGCACGCTCGGCACGGATGCTCTGGCGCACAGCTGGCCGCGGGGCCGCAAATATGCGTTTCCCCCAGTGAGCCTTCTTGCGCAACTCCTGCGCAAGGTCAGGGAGGACGAGGAGCAGGTCACTCTGGTCGCGCCGTACTGGCCCACCCGGACCTGGTTCTCCGAACTTGTACTCCTCGCGACAGCACCTCCTTGGCCGATTCCTCTGAGGAAGGACCTCCTTTCTCAGGGACGGGGCACCCTATGGCACCCTCGTCCCGATCTGTGGAACCTCCACGTGTGGCTCCTGGACGGGATGAGGCAGGTTTGAGTACCCTGCCACCAGCGGTGGCGGCTACCATCACTTCCGCTAGAGCGTCGTCCACGAGACACCTCTATGCGTTGAAGTGGAACCTCTTCGTCAGCTGGTGCTCTTCTCGCCGAGAAGAGCCCCGGAGTTGTTCGATCAGTGTTGTGCTTTCCTTTCTTCAAGAAGGGTTGGAGCGAAGGCTGTCTCCCTCCACCCTTAAGGTCTATGTAGCCGCTATTGCCGCACAGCATGACCTTATAGAAGGTAAGTCTTTGGGGAAGCATGACCTGATCGTCAGGTTCCTGAGAGGAGCGAGGAGACTGAATCCTCCTCGCCCTCCTCTCGTACCCTCTTGGGACCTCGCAGTGGTCCTAACTGCCCTGAGTAGTGCTCCCTTTGAGCCTTTGCAGTCAGTCGAGCTAAACTTCCTATCTATGAAGACAGCGCTTCTGACTGCATTGGCCTCCGTTAAGAGGGTGGGGGACCTGCACGCATTCTCCGTTGACGAAGCGTGCCTAGAATTCGGGCCGGGCTATTCTCACGTGATCCTGAGACCCCGGCTTGGATATGTGCCCAAGGTTCCTACCACTCCCTTCCGGGACCAGGTGGTGAACCTGCAAGCGCTGCCCCCGGAGGAGGCAGACCCAGCCTTGGCACTGCTCTGTCCAGTACGTGCTCTTCGCATCTATGTAGACAGAACGCAGTGTTTCAGGACCTCAGACCAGCTCTTTGTCTGTTATGGTGGGAAGCTGAAGGGAAAGGCTCTCTCCAAGCAGAGGTTGTCTCACTGGATAGTGGACGCCATTGCTTTGGCATACCAGCAGCAAGGTCGACCGTGCCCCCTTGGTGTGACTGCCCACTCCACCCGGAGTGTGGCATCCTCTTGGGCTCTAGCGCATGGCGCCTCGCTAACAGACATCTGCAGAGCTGCAGGCTGGGCAACACCTAACACATTCGCCAGATTCTACAATCTCCGAGTGGAGCCTGTGTCCTCTCATGTACTCGCTTCAACCAGCTAGTACCGGACCCGCTCAGGTGTCTTCGCTTGCTCGCCATTCCACTCTACGGACTGGATACGTGCGATATTCTCCTCAGGTGAGCTTCTCCGAAAGCCCTGAGTTCCTCCAGCACTCCTGACGTCGGCGCCAGTGTCTCTTGCCTGCGCGTCGGCTAGGTGCCTCCCGTGTGCATGGTACCTCCCGGAGCTACCCCCACATGTGTATTCCCACTGTAAGCCTCTCTGAGCATGTGTCTTTCCCTTGGCAAGCCACCTTGCCACCCCTGGGGTTGAAATATTCCACCTGCGGCTGGATACCCCAGTGATTCCCCATATGCATCCCTCGGGTCATATGTGTATTTCTAAGTCCCCCCCCTCTGGGTTGGCAGTAATTGCATACTTCCCTAAGACCTGGGATATGCTCCCCAGTGTACCTTGGTATTCCTGTGTTAAATAGGAGTCCTTCGTCCGTGCTAGTCTCACGACAGGGATCTCAGATTTACGCAGGGCACTGGAAGACAGCTGAGAAGTGGCGTGATTAGACTGGTATCCCCATTCGTCGTCATCCGACGGAACTCGGAGTGACAACGAAAGGGAACGTCTCGGTTACGGATGTAACCCTCGTTCCCTGAGTAGGGAACGGAGACGTTCCGTCTTCCTGCCACTTCCGCTGTACCGCGGGGATCGCCTGAACTCAGGTTGGCTCCTCAGCGAAGAAACATGCCTATTTGCTGCCAGCGTTCTCCTTATATACTCACGAGGTGAGGCGGAGTTACGCTATGCAAATTCCGCAGACCCATGGCATTTCTTTGCCATTGGCTCGTTTTGAAGTATTTGAAGTTGATTGGCTTCTAAGCGAAACCCCCATTCGTCGTCATCCGACGGAACGTCTCCGTTCCCTACTCAGGGAACGAGGGTTACATCCGTAACCGAGACGTTTGTATACAACAAAACTAGAAAATAAAAACCTTGCTTCAATTTGTAAAAGTAACTTTTTTATATGTGGATTAGTAAAACATTTTTATTCAGTTTATACTTCTATAAAATGACTGTTCCATAGTGATATCTGCTTCAAAATAATGTAATCCCTCTACTCACAGCTTGGGCTGCACATACAAAAATTATACCCTGCTTGAAATCAACTGGTATGTATTTCCAAACAAACCAAAAACAAGACAGAAATTCTATATAAAATTGCTTTGATTTATTAATTTGCACCATGTTAATAACCCTTTATTGTTACCAGGGCCTCAATTATTTGGGTTGAACGAAATCACACGCTTTGGGCTGTTCAGGTAGTTCTGCAGATAAATCTCATAATATCCACAATTTTTTTAACTTATTTTATTTATTTTTTGAAAGGTTTGTGTTATGGAACTAATATAAAGTTATTGATGTATTTTAACAAATAGCTATTTTCTGTAGGTGTCTGTTGCAGTCATATGTTTATTCATAAGAATCCTGCTGACATATCTACGATACAAGGTATTCATTTTTAGTATTTTCCATATCAGTTTACAGGAACATCCAACATCAATATCAAAACAATGACCCTAAAGAGTCAATCTACTGATATATTTTTCATGCAACTATTGATACCATCTGTGTTAATTCTGTTTGTTTATCTCTCTAACAATCTAGGGGAACATATGGCAGCAGGTTCTTCAAATAGCGTTTATCTTGGAAATGATTGACACAGTGCCCTTTGTGATTGGAGTAAGTTAAACTTTTTTAAGTATTAATCTTTGCTTCTTAACTCATAACCTACCACACACACTACACAACCACCCTCAACACCATAGCTGAACACCATAGAAACCAAATACCATTTTAGAGCACATATAGCAACTTGTTTACAACTTCTTCTTTTTTTTTTAACAGTGAAATTTCATTTAAGATATTTATGTTGTAGAAACAATTGCATAAAACATTCAAGTTGGAAGATTAGACCTTATGTGTTCCCTTTTGGCTGATATGTGTTTAGAGCCTACTTTGGCATTTTAAAAACCAGTTGAGCATTCTTATAAGATTATTTATTATTACGTATTAAATGTCTGTTTTGGTGAAAAGCTTCAGTTTTCTGTGAAAGTTTAATGGGTAGTCTTTGTTGTAACAGATTTTTTATCCTCCTCTACGGAACCTCTTCATCCCTGTGTTTCTGAATTGCTGGCTGGCAAAACGTGCCTTGGAAAACATGGTTGTGAGTATATGTTTTGAAGAAAGTATAGACATGCATTTGTTATATTGTAGTGTTGATCAATTGATCAAACTATTTGTCTGCCTGCTGTAGACGGCATTAAAAGGACAGTTCAGCCAAAAATTTAAATATACAATAAACTCAATGTAATTCCATAATCGGTTTCTCTCTGGCTCTCAGAATGATCTTCATCGTGCTACTCACTGGACACAGTCAGCCATGTCCAATCAGGTCCTCATCCTCATCTCCACCATTGTCTGCTTCATTTTCACTTTGTGAGTCAGCACATGTACACACTCACAGCACACACTAATTGTACACACGATTTAGCCTAATTCGACCACAAACTGCTTGTCAAACAGGATATCCCAACAACCCTGCTGAAAAATCCAGCATTGCTGGTCACCAGCATAAGGTATACTTTGCACGCTGGGACCAGCATGGGATGCTTGTTGCTGGTTTGCTGGCTCCCAGCATGGGATGCTGGTGTGCTGGTGGTATATTGTCTTTTGGGTACTGGAATGATCCCAGCAATACCACAACAAAATATGTTGCATATCACTTTTCTTAGTGTGTTTGTAGTTAGAACACGACCAAGAAAATTTTCAAAATGAATTTGAATGAATTATTTGATGAGGAAAAAAAGCGTTTTGCTGGTTATATACTGGTACACAGTAAAATCCTCAATGTTAAACACAGACACTTTTCAGTTTTCATATGGTCCCAATCTATAGAGAGTAAAAGTAACACTGAAGCAATGTAACAGTTAGTGAAATAAAGTAGATTTACTCAACAAATGATTTAGGGATGCACGATGATATCGGGACAAGATCGGTATCGGACGATAAAAGCTTAAAATGACCATCATCGGCATCGGCCGATATGAATATTTCTGCCAATGAGCCTTGCCGATAGGGTGGCGTGTTTCCTATGCGCACGTGACGACCGTGAACTAAGCATGAGCGCCAGCAACTTAAACTTCCAACTAGGGGTGTGCGTCTCACGTGGTTTTTGATCATGGACGATTAAAATGTCTCCACGATCTGCTTTTGAAGAAAAATCATAGTATCGTGCATTCTATCAGTTCAATTCAGGCGCCTTCATCTCAACATACTGTACAACGCGACGTACATTCACATCACATCACATGTAAACGCAGAGGTAGAGTTACACTCACGGGACACTGCAATTCACAAAAGTTCATTATTTGCATGTGCGTCAAAGTCTTGCTAGTTCACGTGCTGATGCGCTGTTCTAACATGCGCTTTTCTGAGCGCGTACACCCGACGCTCACAGGAACTAAAGCCGTCACTTGCATACTGGACTAATCTTTCGAGTCTTATTGCGCTGATACTGTCAAATACACACAAGGTTTACATAAACAAAGTTGGTTATGTCTAAAGTGAAAGCAAACAGAGAAAATCTGCTTGTCAAATGCGTGCACTAGACGCGTTGCGTGCAGTTCTTAAAGTGTAAATTGCAGGTAAAATTTTTCACGAAGATAATGCAATGTGCTTACTAAACATAAAGATAAGAACCGCCCACCATTGTTTTTTTTTATGTTTTTTACACCAAAATGCTGAATATAATATGAAAAGTTGGTGCGTTTTACAGTGGTTTTAAGCACGCCCCCTCCCTGCCACTAGGCTGGGCGTGACGTCATAAAAGGTACTCCAAGCTTTTACTGTCTATGCTCCAGGCCTGGAGTTACGTTATATTGGAGACCTAGCTAGCAAAAATGGTTAACTATTGTGTTTGTGCGGGATGTACGAATACATCAAAAACTGGGGAGAAGCTCCACAAGTTCCCCAAGGACAAACGGCTGATTCGTGCCTGTAAGTGTTAGCATAACTTACCCGAGGTAGAGCTTAGATCGGGCCCAAAAAAAATCAAGCAAGACCCTACCCGAGCCCGCTGTGTCCAAGCCCGGTCCGGCCCTGCCCGACACATTAACTGTAATTATGAGCCCGGTTTAAACCCGACTATTTTTTAATACGTGGGTCGTTATAACTGACGTACTCATACTTTCTATATTACTTTCTCCCGGCCGCAACATTTATGTTTTGTCCCGCTCCCACCCGCAAAAAGACTTTTTTTCTGTACCTCCAAATACTTTGGAGTTAGCCTACGTGCCGCCACCATACACATGCATACATGCTCCTGATCACTGTTATAACATAAAAGCAAGCGGGCTACTGCGTGCATAGTCTGGCATGACTGCACGCAAAAGTGCACTGCACTCCCATAATAATTCCTAAAAAGCTGACATCAGTTCATCGCGATCTCACACATCTCTGTTATTATCAATAAATCTTTCATAATATATACACTATGTTTGTTATAATTAGAGGATTTGCCAGCATACAGAATTCATCACTGAACAAAAAGTCAGTTTTGAGCGGTGAGGGGAGTCCATCGTAAATGCTTCTGATTGGCCATTATTGCGTTATGTTATGTCAACACATATGTCTGTGATTGGCTACATCGCTCAACGCTGCAGACATGTTAGAAATAGAAACTCTGCCTGTAAACCGTTTCTATTTAGTTTTAGTTGTTCTTATTGCTTTTCTGCAACAGATGAATACAAATGTATTCGTTTTTATGTTTTATTCATAGATATTTCTAGTTTGCGGGAGTCCCGCGAATCGTTTTATTCTCCCTCAACGGGCACACACAGAGTGAGTGCATTACCGCCCGCGCTCCCTTTTATGACGTCATCACCCAGTTACGGTAAAAAACATGCTACCTTTGAAGAAACCCCAATAAATGTTATTTTAACGCATTTTAAGACAGAAATTTTTACATATATACACATTGAGCACTTTAATTTACACATTAATTGGTTGTGGTGGTTAACCTGCAATTTACCCTTTAAAGAGACAGTAATAATATGCTGCCGCTTGTCCTTAAAGAGATGTTTGCAAATGTTCGTTAGAGCAATGGTTTCGGACTCGTTGACAGTGTTGGGCAGTAACGGGTTACTGTAACGCAGTTACTTTTGACAGTAACTCATACTGTAACGCATTACTTTTTAAATAAATTAACTCCATTACCGTTACCATATGGTGCGTTGTTCGTTACTTTTTTAAATTAATTAATTTTGGCTGAAGTGTAGATCAAATCAACAAGGGACGCGATTTGTCCCGTATTTTACATAAGGCCCACACATAGCCTAGTTGGATAAAAACATAAGGATTTACTATACTAATAGCAAATAGCCTATAAAGAAATCAATTTCACAATAATGTTACATTATGATTAGAATCAAATGGATTTTGTCCATTTTCTAAGCTTAGAAAATGCTCATTTATAACGGCTGAATTTTATAGGGCTAAAATATTGTTTAGTAATTCTGTGAATTACACTGCGCAAACCAAAGTAATCCTACCCACCGGATGAAGAAGGGTTGGCTCTCAGTCAACACGGAACAAAATATTCATTTTATTTTATTTTTAGTGTTCGCATTTATGAGGAAAAAACAATGTTACGGACGTGACAGTTCTCCGTTACAGACGTGAGCACTCTGAAAGCGGCACTAAAATATGCTTTAAAACTTTCACAGAGACATAAAACAGAAAGCACAAAACCTTTCTTTAAAGTGAATTTCGTTTTGTATTAATTGTATCTTAAATTTAGTCAATGTTTCATCAACCAATTGCCTGGATTTAATAAATAAGAAGTAAATATAGCAGACGATAGATAATCACGAAACGGAGGCACCAGCGCGTGAACTGGAGCTCGTCTCATAAATGAACGGAAACTCGGCGTAGGTTGTAAGGTAACCTAACCTAAACAGAACAATTCAAAACGAAAGAAAACAGACTACAGACTGCTCTCTGCTTATGTAATCCGTATGAAATGTGCATTTCTCTCTGGCACGTCTACTGCGAAGATCGCGTGTCAGCATAGCGAGTCACCTCAGAAATCCTTGTGATATATTCAGTTTGTGCTGGTCTGACTTAAAATAGTGTTTAAAAATTACTTTCTGTTTAAGTCGGTTTTGTGTTTGTATAACGCATAAAAGGGCATTAATGGGAACCTTAAAGAATGTTTTTTTTTTTTTAAGTAACTAAAAAGTTACTTTTAACAGTAATGCATTACTTTTTGGTGTAAGTAATCAACAAAGTAATTGAGTTACTTTTTGAATGAAGTAACTAGTAACTGTGACTAGTTACTGTTTCTTTGTAACTAGCACAACACTGCTCGTTGAACTATGCTGATAACGACGTAACTTGCGACCATAGTTGGCTATGGATACTTTTGGGGGGGAAAAATCCTGGTTTTTGCTGGATTTTTCAGCAGGGAACTGTGTCTCCTGGTCTTAATCAGTGCCTGTTTGCTCTCATTTGCCTGAGACTGAAGCATTAGATGTGCAGCTCTGTTCAGGGTAAGAAACAGATTGAATTGCAGCTCATTTTTGCATTTTCTGCTTTTAGAGGCAGGAGCACTTACTCACCACAAATGTGCTTGTCCATCTGTGTTCACACCCTTATTAATCCCTGGTGTGTTGCCAGACTAATTGTAAAATACCCTTGTACTTTATATGCTCGCTTCGCTTTTCCACTGCGTGGTACGACTCGGTTCGGCACGGCACGGCTCGGTTCGCTTTAGCTCGGTTTGCTTTTCCACTGCAGTTAGAACCGCTTCAAAGTTGGTGGGATTATAGACTGATCGTTATAGTTTATCCGCTCCTCGGTAACCAACAAGAGAAACGTCTGCACTTCGTCCACTGACCACGATTCAGCCATTTCTTTTTTGGACGTTTTTTTCTTTCTTGACTAAATGTCAGAAAGCATTTACTCATCTCACTTGCACAAAAAACAGATTCAGTATTCCTTAAAATGAATAAAAACAGTTAAATAACACAAATATATTTAATGTATTTAATCTCACTTTATTGACCAATGTCTTTTCTGTGAAATCTGTCAACTCCGCTGCCCAAAATCTGCAGTTTGATGCACTGTAGCATTGACGACACATCGAGACTAAAAATTGAGGCAAATATCAGGGTGAAAGTCATGTAGTGTATTTATTTCAGAGAGAAGGTCTAGCATCCTTTGTTTTAGATGACGTAGCTGCAGATTATCTGCTGTAAACCTCAGCAACATTAACTTTATTTTTGTTGTCAATATATTGGAGTTTTTTTCTTTTATCTCAGAACTAAATCAATATACTAATTGGTCTGTGGTCAAGTATTCATCATTAGAAAAACCACAGACAGCACTACATGATCACCATTACACTGCCAGTAAGTGCATCGCAACGCTTTTAGAGGAGATTTTCACAAGCTGTTTGCTCATAGACTTGGTGTCGTTTGGAGAGCTAATGCAGACAGAGAGTCAGAGCAAAAGATGAGTTCTCTGTCATTTCCTGATCCCATCACTTCATGACCATTTGCCACATTAGTCAATATGTGGTGGTTTTACCCAGAAATTGAGCTTGCACATCTCACATCCTTCTATTATGCATTTGCTCAAAAATGTTTTTTTTTTCTGTGTATCATGCATGTAAAATGTAACATGCTCATGCTGTTCAAAAAAGAATCAACTTTTGCTGATTTTGTCTCTTTGTAATGCTCATAAATAACCGTGAAACATCAAATTTTGTGTTACAGTGTTACCAATTTTCTTTTTGAATGCATAATGCATAGTAAATAAATAAATGTTCTTCCTTAAAATACAGGGTGCATAAGTCAGGACACCCCTATGTTAAATTCCCATAGATTTTTATTTTTTAAGGCCAGTTATTTCATGGATCCAGAATACCATGCATCCTGGTAAAGTTCCCTTGGCCTTTGGAATTAAAATAGCCCCACATCATCACATACCCGTCACCATACCTAGATATATTGTCACATACCCGGCCGTCACCATACCTAGATATATACACCATACCTAGATATATAAACCACAGTACTGCAGTGGTTTGAGTCCTACCTTTCTGTCAGGACTGAGCGTGTTATATTGGGAGAATTTGAGTCCAGGATGCTCCCTGTTACATGTGGTGTCCCGCAGGGTTCGGTTCTCGGCCCAATCTTATTCATTCTTTACATGCTTCCCCTCGGTTCTGTCATCAGCAGACATGGACTATCCTTCCATTGTTATGCTGACGACATGCAACTTTATATCAAGACTGCCCAAGCCCCTCCATAGCCATGTCACGACTCACCACATGTCTTGAGGAGATTAAGTCATGGATGAAAAGCAACTTCCTCCAGCTAAACTCTAGTAAAACTGAGGCATTACTTGTTGGCACCCCTCATCAGATTCGCTCCTCTCCCATATCTCAGTTCATCTTTGATGGTCAGGTCATCACTATCTCCTCCTCAGTCGTAAACCTAGGGGTTCGGTTTGACCCACAGCTGTCCTTCAATGACCACATTAAACACATTTGCAAAACCTCCTTCCACCATCTTCGAAACATCTCCAAACTCCGTCCCCTTCTAACTCTTCCAGATGCAGAGAAGCTTGTTCATGCCTTTATTTCCACTTGGCTGGACTACTGTAACGGACTCTTCATTGGTATTTCTGGCAGAAATATCCAGAAGCTTCAATACATCCAGAATAGCGCTGCCAGAGTCCTAACGAGAGTCCGAAAATATGATCACATAACTCCCATTCTACACTCACTGCACTGGCTCCCTGTTTCATTCTGGATCGACTACAAAATCCTCATGCTTACACAAAAATGTATCACCGGACATGCACCTCCATATCTACAAGAACTCATCACTTTGAAATCCTGCCCCCGCACCCTCAGATCATCAGGCCACTTGCTTCTTCAGGTCCCCACCACCAGGCTTCGTACCATGGGGGACCGAGCTTTTTGTTCAGCTGCACCGCGATTTTGGAACCACCTCCCGAGTGAGCTGAGAGCAGTACAGAGCCTGGACACTTTCAAAGCAGAACTGAAGACTTTTTTATTCAGACAGGCTTTTATGTGCTGATTGTTTTTATCATTTTCTAGTTACTGTCGTTCTCCTGTGTAGCACTTTGAGATTCTTCGGAATGAAAAGTGCGTTATAAATAAAATCTATTATTATTATTATATATTGGCATGGGGTACTTTCCATAAGTTCATCTCTCAATGCAAATCAAACCAGCTATTAGGCTAACTGAAATTGAAGGGTATGTGATGATGCTCAGATCTGATGCTCAGTTTGAACTTCAGCAGATCGTCTTGACCAGGGCTGTGTCCGCAATCGCCCACTATACCCTTAAATAGGGCACTATTTGAGGGAGCAGCCATTTGTAGTGGTGTCTGAAACCATAGTGGATGTTATCGAGTGCACTCATTCAATCCCACAACTCACCGCAATAACGAGTGTACAACCGATGTCAATGGCTAGGGAATACCCATAATGCACTGTGAGGGTCGCGCCAACTAAATTCCCATGTCTCGCCAGAAAATGGCGCCCCCTGGTGAATTATCCATACATCCATTTTCCAAACCGTTGGTACAGCGTAATATCATACATGCATAAATTCCTTTTTAATTTATTATTAAATAGTTTAATTAAGGTTTATACATGCTAGTTTCCATGACAGGGTTCAAGATAAATATTCTTCTTTTTTATTACTACTGGAACTGCTAGTTTGCTAAGTTTCATATGATTATGAAACGGCAAGCACAAATTATGCAAAAGCGGCAACCCTTCCGGGGGGTCCGAATTTACTCATTCATTTTCATTTACTCCTTCAAGTGGATTATATAAGTGGAGAAAGGTATGGAATAGTGAATAAGGGTATAAGGGTATGGAATAGTGAATAAGGGTATAAGGGGCGATTTCGAACACAGCTAGCACATGTCTACATGCCTAAATGCATTGATTTGCTTCTATGTGATTGGTTGATTAGATATTTATGTTAACGAGCAGTTGAACTGGTGTACCTAATAATGTGGCTAGTGAGTATATATTAATAGTTTGACAATAATTCATATATTAATACATATATTACTGTAGTATACAGTTTTCTGCTAACTTAACATGGACTCCTTTGTTTCGTTTACTTTTGTTGGATTTGTTTCAAAACTTTTCCACCTCTTCAGCATTTGGGGAGTTGAGCATTTGCAGCGTGCTGGAGGCAAACTCTCAGTTTTTGACTCATTCTACTTCTGCATCGTGACCTTCTCTACAGTGGGGTTTGGAGATGTTGTTCCTGATATCTGGCCCTCCAAGTTGCTGGTGGTTATTATGATAATTGTCGCGTTAATGGTCCTGCCTATACAGGTAAGCTTGCCTTTGATACTATACTTTAAGATGACGCTTTAACAAAGTTTGGGAGGAACATTTTCAAATGGAGCCCTCCCCTCGGACAGCACGCCAAATACACATACTCTTTAACTCTAACTGATTATTTGTAAGTGTAAACAAACATTTGATGCCAGTATGATGATCCTCTTGCTTTGCATGGTAATAAAAATATAACTATAAAATATAATGGCAGAAACTGTATATATACTTTTACTGGATAAAAACACCTTATTTTGAACATAAAAGCTGGTGCATCCATTTATAAAAGTTATTTTATTTGTACAAAAACAGCTGATTTTCGTTGCAAACTTATATTTGTTATCATATTATTTTAATTTATTACTGTTATCACAAACACACTGGTTTGTTGCTCAAAAAATAAAGTGGATACTGGTGATATTATAAAAGTGTGATATTATAAAACTAGTCAATTCTTTAAAAAGCATTTATCTTGTCATTGTACTAAAGCAAGTTGTTAAAATATTATAAAACTTTAAAAAAAAAATCTTACTGTTAAAATCTAGTGCTCCTAATATTATAAAATAATCACAATGAATCTCATGATTTCTTTGAAATTGGGATGAAATAGGGCAGTCCTCACAAAAGGCTTCACAATATTTATGCACTTAACAAATTCCAGATCTCATGAGGGACATTTTAGAGCAATAATCTACAGGAAATGTCATTAAAAATTTAGAGATAATGCCATGCATTATGGTGCTTTGCTTTCTTTGTGGTGTGATGACACTAGATTGAGGATCTAGCCTACTTGTGGATGGAGCGGCAGAAATCAGGAGGAGATTACAGCAGGCAGAGAGCAGAAACCGAGAGACACGTGGTGCTGTGCGTCAGTTCAATCAAAATCGACCTGCTGATGGATTTCCTAAATGAATTTTATGCCCACCCCAGACTTCAGGTACTACAAAAACAAATGATTAAACAGAATTTTCATTACAGTTCAAAGGTAACACTCAGTTCCAGTGGATGGTCTTTTTGGCAGCTATTCAAATACTTAAATGCCCCTTGAAATGTAAGTTTTTTAGCTTTTAGTATGTCTATGTTAGCTTTAAGGTTATGAATGGTCTCTTAAGGTCTCTCACTTCCGCTAAAATGGATCACGGATTTTTATGACATCACTCTGCACTTCTCATCACATCTTCTGTCCAATCAAATACTCTCTATTCTAAAGCGTCCCGCCCCCTATGCTATAAATTAATATAAAGCTTTGCTGGCCAAAGCGACCGTTGACATGTCACGGAGCAATATGGGTTAGAGACGTGTGTTCGGTTGTTCAAACGCTCGAGTTTAATTAAGTTTTCCAACTGCTCGCTGGTTAAGAATGAAATGGCTAGAATTTATTCACACCTCTACTATTGAATCCAACTTATCATCAGCGCTCGGATTCGCTTCCATGGTGCTGTCAAGTATGACTTGCAGTCTGTGAGGAAAACTAAACGCTATTGGCTATTTGAAAAGGGGGAGGAGCCATTCAATATGTCCCGCCTTAGCTTCCTGTTTCAGTTGAAATTACGTCAAAGCATCATAAAGCTGTGTGTTTCAAGGCACTTCAGTGAGTCTTTAATTGTTATTGTCACTGTTCTTACTGATATTATGGACCTGACATACAGTAGGCTTTATATTATGCATATAAATAGTTTCAGTTTGCTTCATTTATTCAATTCAGCAACAGTTCAAAGGGTCACTTTATCACTTACATTATAACTTTATGATTTTTGTAGGTATTGTAGTTATTGGACAACTAACATTTAAGTTTAAATAAGAAAAGTATTCAATTTAGAGACTTTAGCTCGGCAATCTGGTCGGTCACTTTATAAATGAAAGCATGTGTATGTTTTTATGTTGAAATACATTCTCTTAACCCAGTTTATTGTTCATTAGACTATTAATGGACACTTCAATATATCATCATCAGGGCCGCATTAAGACAATTAGAGGCCCTTGGGCTTTACCTCTTGTCTTCAATCTTCTTAATCACAAAGTGCAAGTTATCAGCCTTTTATTTTGCAGGAATAAATGCCATTAACAAAACATTCCAACCTAGGTCTGTCATATAAAATATACACAAATATCACTGCATGAACTGAACTACATATTTAACATACATACCTTTGTCGTTTAGGGACTATAATAAAGTCGTAGCCTATGCTTTGTATAGAGAGCTATAATAATAAATAATAATTTGATGTCTTCCAGGAGTATTATGTCATCATCCTTTGCCCAACAGAGCTGGATGCGTCAGTGAGACGGGTACTGCGGATCCCAATGTGGTCACATAGAGTCATATATCTGCAGGGCTCTGCTCTCAAAGACCAAGATTTGGTCAGAGCAAAGTGAGTTCAAAGAGACGTATATTTATCTGTTGCATTATCTTGGTCCTGTTTCACACATCCCACATCTAAATTGTGTTTCAGCTGTAAAACTGCTGCCATATATAGAAAAAAATATCATGATTTCTGGCTTATCACACTGAGTATTTCTATTAAAAAGGGCCATAAATTATATCTTAAAAGATTTTGTTGAGTTAGCAAACTGCAAGCTATTTCAAACCTGATCGTTGGGAAATCAAATTTTCAGTGGGAATCACATATACATGGAACAGAATCCAAATGCCACAGTTTTGCTATAAAGTGCTTAATCATCATCATCAAAAAAAAAAAAGATCTGTATTTTTTAGATAAATTTGCTTGAGAAGCAAATTTGTGTAAGATATTAAGACATAAATCGGTAAGACTTTACAATAAGGTTTCATTTGTTAATGACCTCACAATGAGCAATACTTCTAAAGCATGTAATAATCTCAGGTAATGTCAACATTTTGTCGACATTTTAACTCATTGGTTAATTGATTATATTCACCTGTTTCTTGTTTGGTTCCTCCTTTAGCCTGTGTATTTAACTCAGTTAAGTCCTCAATTTCAGTTTTTTTGTCCTGTATTGTCTGTGTTGTTTGCCTAGCTGTTACATTTGGAATACCGTGTTTGTTTAGTTTAGTTTGAGGAATAGAAGTTTAAAAGTGCTGCAATTGGATCCACCCCTCTCTCCTTCATCTTCCTAAGCTTGCACGTGACAGTAGTTAAACAAAAGCAAATATTAAATATAACTACATTTAGAGAGTTTTACATTTAAAACAAATTTTTTTTAAAACATGGTGTAAGAAAACTAAAAAAAAAAAGAATTCATTCTCTTTCTATACAGGCTGGATAATGCTGAGGCTTGTTTCATTCTGACCTGTCGCAGTAAGGCTGATCGCAATGCAGCAGTATGTATTCTTGAGGTTCAAAAAGTGAAGAATTAATATTAAAAATGTTAAAGCTTTGTCTTTAATTATCTGTGAAGAGATGGGATATATATAATATATATTGCAGAGCTTTATTTATGTAAATACTATGAATATTCCACCTTTAATAACAAATTTTATTTTAAGGATTACCAGACCATCCTGAGGGCTTGGGCAGTAAAGGACTTTGCTCCAAGCTGTACTCTTTTTGTTCAGATTCTCAAACCAGAAAACAAATTTCATGTGAAATTTGCAGGTATTGTTAAATCTGTCTCAATTGATTTATTCCAGAACATTTCAATTCAAACAATGACTAAATGCAGAGAAATAGCCAGGACACTGTAATGCATAACTTTCCAACACAATTGTGCTGTGATGTTCCCTTTCAGATCACATTGTTTGTGAGGAAGAGTTTAAATATGCCATGCTGGCCCTGAACTGCATCTGTCCTGCCACGTCCACCTTCATCACCCTGCTGGTGCACACCTCACAAGGCCTGTGGGTACACCAGCCTGATGTCATATCAAAAACCCTTAAAGTCGGAAGTTTCAATATTCTTTCCTTCCATATTGTGAAGTATATCCGAGTTAAACGGAATTGTTTAGATTGTTGGATGTTTGTGGTTTGCTATGTGCTGTGATGTCATGTGAGTGACAGGTTGTCCCACCAGTAAACACATCATCAGAGAAGAGACGAGCTGCATGAGAGTGGGGAAATTATTGACTTTAAAGATTCCTATGGCACATTAATATTTTAGAAATTAGAAGGTGCATTAACAAATCCTTTACAATAATTACCACAATATTCCATTAAAAACAAACAAACAAGAATAGTCAATTTTGATTTCATGGTGACTTTAAAGGTATAATTAATCCAAAAATAGTTTTCGTTATTTACTCACCTCCATGTTGTGGAACACAAAATCATAATTATATATGATATGATGTTATGTATGTAACTCTGCAGAGAAGGTCAACACTCTCCTCAGGACTGGCACAGAGTTTATGGAAAATGCTCAGGAAATGAAGTGTACAGCATTGTTCTGAAAGAAAGCGTCTTCTTTTCGGAGTATGAGGGAAAGAGCTTCCCTTATGCCTCCTTAAATGCATATAATACGTGAGTATGTGGAAGAAGCATACAGTATTTGAGAAATGCAATAAATGTCAGTACAGAGAATGGCAATTTCTCACCTCTGGACCTTCAATTCGTGTCATATTCAGTATATCGCTCTCATTTTTAGGTATGGCATCTGTCTTATTGGAGTGTGCCCTGAGGACACTACGAGTATCCTGCTGAACCCTGGTCCGCAGCACACCATGAAACCCTTGGACGTGTGCTTCTATATCAGTCTCACCAAAGAGGAGGAATCCTGCTTCAAGACCCAGGCATCGTGTGAAAACAGCCCCAAGACTCAACCCCCAACAAGCAGTGCCATTACTAGCATGGGTCAGTCAAATGCATCTGATAATAATTCAAAATAAAGATACTGTACATTTCACAGCAGTGCCATACACTACTGTTTAAAAGTTTGGGGTCTGTAAGATATTTTTATGTTTATAAAAAAAAGAAGTCTCTCATGCTCATCAAGATTGCATTTCTTTGGTCAAAAGTAGTGAAAATAGTAATATTGTCAAATATTATTATTTTAATGAATATTAATTAATATATTTTGATGATAGAAAGTTTTTACTGTTTCTTTTTTAATCAATTTAAAGGGTTAGTTCACCCAAAAATTCTGTCATTAATTACTCACCCTCATGTCGTTCCAATCCCGTACGACTTTTGTTCATCTTCGGAACAAAAAATATTTTTAATGAAATCTGAGAGCTGTCATTCCCTCCATTGACAGCCTATGCAACTACTACTTTCAAGCCACAGAAAGGTAAAGACATCATTCAAGTAATACATGTGACCCAAGAGGTTTAACCTCAGTTTTATGAAGCAACGCGAGTACTTGTTTGAGCATAAAAAACACAATTTACCTCTTGATTGACAAAATATCTCCAACGCGCGTTCACGAGAGCACCACGACACATGCGCTTTGTGTTGACGCAAGAACAGATGTTGTTGTGTGAACGCTCATTGGAGATTAATATTTTGTCAGTAAAGTGGTAAATTAAGTTGTTGTTGGTTTTTGCGCAAACAAAGCACTCGCATCGTTTCATAACATTGAGGTTAAACCACTTGGGTCACATTACTTTGATGTCTTTAGCAAATTTCTGGGGCTTGAAAATGGTAGTTGCGTAGCTGTTAATGGAGGGACAGAAAGCTCTCAGATTTCATTAAAAAGATCTTCATTTGTGTTCCGAAGATGAATGAAAGTCTTACAGGTTTGGAACGACATGAGGGTGATTAATTACAGAATTTTTACTTTTTGGGTGAACTAACCCAGTTTAATGCATTGTTACTGAATAAAAGAATCGGTTGAAACCAAAAGAATTTTGGCAACACTTTACAATAAGGTTCCGTTTGTTAACATGAATTAACAATGAAAAACACTTTTAATGCATTATTAATCTTAGTTGATGTTAATTTGAACATTTACTAATACATTACTACAAACAAAAGTTTTATCAGTTAATATTATTTAATAGACCTAAGCTAAATTGAACTAACAATGAACAATTGTATTTTTATTAAATAACATTAACAAAGACTAATAAATAGTAATACTGTAACAAATGTATTGCTCATTGTTACTTAATGTTAGTTAATGCATTAACCCAATGGAACCTTTTTGTAAAGTTACCAGAATTTGACTACTACTAATTTAACTTTTGAACAAATATCATACGTATGTACTGTGTGTTAAGTTTTTAAAAAGTTCACCATAAAATTAGTTTTTCTATAAAAGATAATGTAATGTCATTCCCGACTTTTCCTAAAGGTTTTTGTTTGTATTTCCTACAGGTACCATGGCTATAGATGTGCAGGAAATAAGCATTCCATCCAGTTTAGGTCCATCTCTTTCAACTGAAACAAATATATCTGAGACCAGAAGAACAAACATGGCTCCTGTTTTAGAAGTGCCTGATTCACCTTCCTTTCAGACTGGCAATAATCTACTCAGCGATCAGTCAAAGAGTCCATGTCAGCCCTTCAGTGGAGATGAATGTAGCGATGGGTAATTTGTTCTTTTCCTGAGAGAGAAAATCCTCTGTTTACGAAAGTTGTTTTGGTAACACTTTATTTAAAGGTGAGTGCATAACAGTAAGTTATGCAGTAAGACTTTACTTGAAGAGGTGTGCATAAGACTGACATGACACCTTCATAATCATGACATGACACATGTCATGAATATGAAGGAGGTTTCATGCATGTTTATGACAACTGTCATTAAGTGTCATTCGCTTAATTATGACATTTTGAATGCAAATATGACATTGTTTGAGATGTCTTTGTTATGATAACTTGACATAAACCAATTCATCAAAATTGTCAGTGTCTTGTCATGACAACTTGACATTACTAAGACACCACAACCTGTCATAAATATGTCATAAACATGACATAGCAGATTAATTATCAAACTTAAGAAACCACTTAGCTTTATGGGTTAACATTACATTAATCTGTCATGTGGTTGGTTTTGACATTGGCTGTCATGAGGCCATTATAACTGTGTCATGAATATTTTTCTTGACCTCAACTACAGTGGTACAAAATTAATTTGTCATTAAAATGTTATAATGGCCTCATGACAGCCAATGTCAAAACCAACCACCTGACAGTTTAATGTAATGTTAACCCATAAAGCTAAGTGGTTTCTTAAGTTTGATAATTAATCTGCTATGTCATGTTTATGACATATTCATGACAATTTATGTTGTCTTAGTCATTTAAAGTTGTCATGACAAAGACACTGCAGGTTATGATGTATTGGTTTGTGTCAAGGTGTCATAACAAAGACATCTCAAACAATGTCATATTTGCATTCAAAACGTCATAATTGAGTGAATGACACTTAATGACAGTTGTCATAAACATGCATAAAATCTCCTTCATATTCATGACATGTCATGGCATGATGATGGTGTCATGTCAGTCTTATGCACACCCCTTCAAGTAAAGTTGTACCAGTTATGCATACTTACAAGCAACTAACCCTAAACCATAGCCTTAACCCTTACCGTAACCCTATAGTAAATCCATGTGGATCAATCAATATTACTCATTACTTTTTTTGAGTAAGTACAATGTAACTACGTCACCTTAAATTAAAGTGTAACAGTTGGTTTTAGTTTGATTAAATGTCATGACAGAAACATTGAATGTCAAGATAGCTGCTATGGGAACGAGATTTCCTGAACTTTATTTTTATTTTTAGTTACATTAAGGGATATCCCCCAAATTTACCCTACATCGGAAGCTCGCTGATACTTTGCCATTTACGGAAAGAGAAAACGCCCAAATGTTGTATGCGGCTGGAAAAGGTAATAAAAGTCTTTATTACATTTTGGTGGACAGTAATATAGTTTACATATATATATATATATATATATATATATATATATATATATATATATATATATATATATATATATATATATATATATATATATACACTCACCGGCCACTTTATTAGGTACCCCATGCTAGTAACGGGTTGGACCCCCTTTTGCCTTCAGAACTGCCTCAATTCTTCGTGGCATAGATTCAACAAGGTGCTGGAAGCATTCCTCAGGGAGTTTGGTCCATATTGACATGATGGCATCACACAGTTGCCGCAGATTTGTCGGCTGCACATCCATGATGCGAATCTCCCGTTCCACCACATCCCAAAGATGCTCTATTGGATTGAGATCTGGTGACTGTGGAGGCCATTTTAGTACAGTGAACTCATTGTCATGTTCAAGAAAACCAATTTGAAATGATTCGAGCTTTGTGCCATGGTGCATTATCCTGCTGGAAGTAGCCATCAGAGGATGGGTACATGGTGGCCATAAAGGGATGGACATGGTCAGAAACAATGCTCAGGTGGCATTTAAACGATGCCCAATTGGCACTAAGGGGCCTAAAGTGTGCCAAGAAAACATCCCCCACACCATTACACCACCACCACCAGCCTGCACAGTGGTAACAAGGCATGATGGATCCATGTTCTCATTCTGTTTACGCCAAATTCTGACTCTACCATCTGAATGTCTCAACAGAAATCGAGACTCATCAGACCAGGCAACATTTTTCCAGTCTTCAACTGTCCAATTTTGGTGAGCTCTTGCAAATTGTAGCCTCTTTTTCCTATTTGTAGTGGAGATGAGTGGTACCCGGTGGGGTCTTCTGCTGTTGTAGCCCATCTGCCTCAAAGTTCGACGTACTGTGCGTTCAGAGATGCTCTTCTGCCCACCTTGGTTGTAACGGGTGGTTATTTGAGTCACTGTTGCCCTTCTATCAGCTCGAACCAGTCTGGCCATTCTCCTCTGACCTCTGGCATCAACAAGGCATTTCCGCCCACAGAACTGCCGCTCACTGGATGTTTTTTCTTTTTCGGACCATTCTCTGTAAACCCTAGAGATGGTTGTGCGTGAAAATCCCAGTAGATTAGCAGTTTCTGAAATACTCAGACCAGCCCTTCTGGCACCAACAATCATGCCACGTTCAAAGTCACTCAAATCACCTTTCTTCCCCATACTGATGCTCGGTTTGAACTGCAGGAGATTGTCTTGACCATGTCTACATGCCTAAATGCACTGAGTTGCCGCCATGTGATTGGCTGCTTAGAAATTAAAGGCCATGGTGCAGGTTAAACACCACTGTCGATTAATGGGTACATAAAGCAGTTAAGATATGTATATAAAGTTAGAAATGTCTCCAAAATTGTGTTAAAGTCCAGTTTTTGACGTTTTTGGTTAGTAACGGTTATTTTTTTACGCGACTCGGCGATGACGTCACATGAGGTAGACGCAGGCAGCGGCGCGCTTGGCTTACCGGTAGTTACCGTTCTGATGGTTCACAGCCGAGGAGATCGATGTTCTCGTCAGGGCCGTAAAATAAAGAGAAGTGACATTGGGCCGGGGATGGGACAAACCCACCCAAATTAGCTTCGGTTAAACATGCACATAATAATTTGGGTAAATGTGTACGCTTTATGCCTATTTTTCCTATCGTCATGAACACAACAATGATTTCACTCGTGTTTAAATAGTTTTCCTTATAATAATGTATCATTTGCAAAAAGTAAAATGCATCTGTGTAGATGAGAGAATCATCTACAGTGTATGCGCGTTGTTCATTCTGTATTATGGCCAAGCATGCGCGCTTAAAATAGCATCTGAATGTACGCGCTAGACCTAGACTTTAGACTAGGTTAGGGTGACCAACAGTCCTGTTTTCACGTCCTGTCCTGGCTGGTTTTTTTTTTTTTAATTATGAAAATGTCCTGGTTTTCAAAACTTCTGGGAAAGATCAGCTCTAAAGCAAAACATAGATGGGCAAACAAGGAGAATGAGGAAGAAAAACAGGATAAAGAGGAAGACTAAAGATACATTTTGTTAGTTTGTTTTTGTAAGCTTGTGAGAGCTATTTTTGTTAAATTTGGAGGTATTTCTTTTAGTTATTTCTTATTTATTTTTCTAATACAGAAGAGACATTATTTCATTCATTCAAACCTGTAATAATTATATATTTATTTTTCTAATACAAGAGACATTTCATTCATTCAAACCTTTAATAAAACAGGCTCTGAGAAGGCTATCTGAATTTGTGTCTTGTAATATAACCATTTTCTACAGAGGAGGCATAGGCTACTTTAAATATACTGAAATTAATAAGGCATCATTGAGTAAATTTCGAGTATAATTTGAGTATCTGTTTGCCAGGCCGAGTGTCCTGCTTTCACCTCTATCTCCAGTGAAAATGTTGTTTGCAAACGTAGCTGACGACGAGTAGGCTGGTCATGTCTTCAGTCAGTGTGATTATTGTTGATAGTGCTAACTAGTTTTCCTCGTGACTGTCATTGACACCGTCAGGCTTACCGGGAGAGGGAGTGAGTTGCGGGCGGTGTCGTCCCATGGAAACTGTGGTGGAGAGCTTGTGTTGTAGGGAGGTGAGTGCGTTTTGGTCGCTGGTCGAGGACCTCACCCCGCGGCCAGCAGTTGTAACGTGCCTAACGCAGCATCCTGGATATGAGGCATAATGCCTGAATCCGTTTGTGCTACACATAGCATACTCACACTTCATGCAGGATACTGGTCCCCTTCAAGCCAGCACGCACGAGTATGTTCATGGTTTATGTTTACTTTACCTTTTTATTTTTTACACTGAGTCCTTTGAACAACAGCTATAGGTGACAGGAGATGTGTTGCATACACAATAAACATGCATCAGAGACGTTTCCAACCTACTTACAGAGTTTAAAACTTAAGAATCGTTCCTACTTATCCCTAGCCAATACCGGTACACTGCGTACAGGCAGGCTATACGCTGGCCTGGGCTTATGGAGTTTTAGGCAGGAGTATAAGAAGCCTCTCGTGTGGTTTCAACCATCAGACAACAATTCCAAAGTCGTGACCAGACCTATCAGGGCTTTCAATCGCCTCGTTTGGATGAAAATGTATAAAAATAATAATTGCTTATTCTGTTGTGATCGCCCAATTTGCCCTCAAAATGTTATAAAGTACACAGAACACATGAATTTCTATAAGAAAAAAAAACAGTTTATTGGCATTGCTTGTAATGGTTACTAAACATTTACTGAACAAGGACAAAGATTACTGAACAAAGACACAGGTTGCAAGTAAACAAATCTATATAAAAAAAAGCCCACTGATGAAGGGCTAGACCTGAAACGTTTGCACATTGTTTCTTTTGCCTGCAATAGTGTGGTCCAGAGCCATAGAGAGAGAGAGTTGCGACACTCCCATAGACCGCCATAGGAACTTAAAAATGCGCAAGTAACGCGTGTCGTGGAGCGGCCAATAGTTCCAAACACTGATAGTTCCAGCATTGAACCCCATTCATTTTCAGTGCTTCCGAAGTACGCTCGCTGGTAAAATAATGAAATTACTGTATTTTTTTTTTACTTTTACACACATTAGCCGACCTCTCGTGAATCTAGTCAGTATATTTTATGTAGCCAGTTTTAGTTAATGCTTATTGGAAGATAATGGGTTACTTGCAGCTAGCTATAGCTCACATGACCAACTCTTCATTAAAGTTAGCTAACTTCTGGTAACCTGAAGTATATATTATATTATTTATAATATATATGCATAGCATATGCATGTATGTATGTTTGTACGCCTATGCATATATACACACATAACCCTAACCCATTTAAATAAATGAATTGTGTGTGTGTATATATATATATAGTTTATATTTACCGAACATTACTGCAAATTTGTACATGCACACTTATATTTTATGTTGGTTGTAATTCTGAACGGACCGCCTCTCCAGACCTCTTTGCGTGATCACGAAGGTAGGCTAATGGCTGAATCGGAATTTATAAGCAAGATCACGGGAATCAATAGCCTAAGAAAAAAAGTAATGATTTTGTGCAAAGTAAAACCAAAGCAACAGCACACAAAGAAAAAAAAAACATGCAGAATGCAGGAAACCACCACTAAATGAATACTTACAACTTAATCATTGGACTTGTCTGTGAAAAGAAAATAATGTGAAATTAGGTTCTTGTAGCGTGACTGCCGGGCTAGGTAGAGGCTGACGGCCTCCTCAGGAACCTGTTTGAAGGATTTGGCGATGGGGGCGGGTGCATCAGGACAAACTGGCGCTAACCTCTCGAAGAGCTGCAGGTGAATTGGTGTAGCTTTCCCGAAGGGCCTTCATTAATGATGTTGCATAACCTGCAGACATAATAATAATACTGTATAAAGATCATTGCCACTAATGGAAACACATGAAATTGTCCTGCATATGAATTATAGCAAACATAAACAGTAAACAGAATGTTACGAGATTGCCAGGGAGATTACAGTACAGTGGACCCTGATATGCGCTACTAAATGTTTTAAAAAATACATAAAAGAAATTCAGAACATATTTGATGATTTGAATGTTACAATTAAATGTTTACACCAATACTAGTGGTAATACATGTGGTAAAGTTACATAAACTCTACGAGGTAGTGAATTTACTGAGAGGTAGCTAAACTCTGAAGTGAGAAGTGGATAAACTGTTTCTGACATAATTTCAGCGGTGGGTAAACTGCGTTTAGCCTCCACTACAGCCCTGACGACACGGTCACGGTCAAATGTGAAAGAGAACCGTAGCAGTCTAACACAAAACGCAAACACACGATTGCGAAAGCCGCTTGATGATCATCACCACTGATCCAAACACTAGCCATGAAGCTTTCATGACGATATGGACATTTACTTCAGGGCAATTTTGTTTAGGCTCAAATTCGTGAATCGCGAAAAATGCTCTTCTAATGTCAGAGTGATCGTGCTTGTAGTGGAGGCTGTGTCAAAGGGAACATGGTAGCTATACAAAATACACACAGAGCTAGCTAACACGCAGCTTGTAAACATTAACGTTAGAATGAACTTACCGTGGCAATATCTCGCTTGCGGCAGACGGTGTCTCTCGACCTCGGGACAGGGCAAGCAGAGAGGTTTGCATTCACAGACGGCACGGCGGTAAGTAACTTAGCCATCCTCTCACTCTTTAAACTAAGTGAGACCATCTTGGCATCCCCTGCGTGGTAAATTAATCCTCCTCTTTGAAATGTGCGCTGCATATTCTCGAGTAGGCGGCGACAGAGCTAACTTAGCTGAAAAATCTGCTCGCCTAATCTTGACAAATTGCACCCAGCTTCGGAAGCTCCCTTTGTCCTTGGGGAAACAATGGACCCCATGTCCAGTTTTGATAAAGTTTTTGCACCCGCCACAAACACAGTAATAAACCATTTTGTCTACTTATTATCTAGCTTACTCTTCTCTATCTCTATCTCTAAGCTGTTATGCTATGCTATCTCTCACTATCTATCTATGTTATGCTTATGATATCTATCTATCTATCTATCTATCTATCTATCTATCTATCTATCTATCTATCTCGATATATTTACTTATCTGACACTGTCACTCTTTCACTAGCTACCGTTAGCTAAGTTACTACTCGCGGGCTTTCGTCTGTTGTCCAACAGCGAGTACCTCATGTGACGTCATGCAATGCATTGTGGGAGAAATTAGAATCCTCGCTAGGCTAGTGGTAAATGCTAACACATCACCGACTTTTCCGTATCATATTTCTTTTTAGTAATCCCCTACAACATAAAATACAAAGGATAACTGTTTAAATGTTTATTACCAACTAGAAAACTGGCAAAAAAAAAAAAAAAAAAAACCTGCACCATGGCCTTTAAGTGTTAACGAGCAGTTGGACAGGTGTACCTAATAAAGTGGCCGGTGAGTGTATATGCATTAACATACTGTATGTATGTGTTCCCTCAGGTATTTGAGTTTAAAGTGGATTAAGCCTGTCTTTGATAATTATGTTGCACAATAAATGTTGCAAGTCAAAAAAAATGTTGCAGAAATACACTACAGTTTAAAAGTTTGGGGGCAGTACGATTTTTTTGTTGTTGTTTTTGAAAGAATTGTATACTTTTGTTCAGCAAGGATTCATTAAATTTATCAAAATTTACAGTAAATACAAAATAATTCTAGTTCAAAAAAATGCTTACTTTTCATCAAAAAATCAAGAAAAAACGTTACAGCATTTTTTTGTTACAGCAAAAATGAAGAAAAAACTGTTTTCAACATTTATGACAATAATAAATGTTTCTTGAGCAGGAAAAGATTATATTAGAATGATTTCTGAAAGATCATGTGACACTACCGACTAATGATGCTGAAAATTCAGCTTTGCATCACAGGAATAAATTACATTTGAAAATATATTCAAATAGAAAACAGTTATGTTTTTACTGTATTTTTGACTAAATAAATGCATCCTTGGTGAGCATATGAGACTTCCTTCAATAACATAAAAAATGTTTTTTCGGTAGTGTATGTTTTATGAATATGCTTTAAGTATTCAGTGTATGCACCTAGGGATCACTGGTTTAATGTTGAATTGTAATTTTACATTGCTTAATTATCTTATTGTGATGTCAGTTTTTGTCTAAGACCTGCAACCACAAAGACAATGATGATGTCAGAGCGTACGGTTTGAAGGATAAGCTCATCATTGTGGCGGCTGAGACAGCAGGAGATAGTCTGTACAACTTCATCCTCCCGTTACGAGCCTCATACAGACCACAGACTGAACTGTGGCCCATCGTGCTGCTCTTGGAAAAAGAGTAAAAATCCTTATTTTACACCACTCTCTTTTACCGTGTTCATTGAGCTTTACCAACTCTTTAGTTGCCAATGTCTTATATTTATAATGACTACAGATGTCTGCATTATGTTGTTTCTGTGTGGACTGTCTGTCTTTTAGGCCAGATGAAGATCTTCTTGAGACTGTCTGTTGGTTCCCAATGATCTATTACTTGCTTGGGTCAATCGACAGGCAAGAGACATTATTATGAAACATAATGTTTGTTTGTAACCTGCCCTCAAATAATCAATTTTTTCAGGACAGGAAGGAGATAAGCCTGCTGCTGTACATTGAGAGTCACCTTCTTGAGATAACATAAAACCATTGAATTAGCTCAAAATTTGTTTTTGAGAATAGATTGAGAATATGTGCTGTCTAAAACCCTGGAAACAGATTAATATTTTGAGCTAATGATTCCATCGTACTGAAGTCAATGTTTTTTTGAATGGGTTTTTGGTTAAATGCCTGAAGTAAGGTCTGTGGTGCACACAAACTCAAGATTTTTTCACGTTTTATTCTACGACACAGAATACATAAGTAATACCCTCTTGTAATTTTAAATCTTTTACTTAACTTGTTGTTAACAAATAGCTAAATGCGCCTACAGAGGTTGTTGGGGACAGTCATTATGCCCACCACTTGTCTACTTTCTAGTCTACTTTTACAGCCTTGTTTTGTTTAAATACTCACATTTTTCCAAATTATCCTAACTCAATTTTAAATAAAGAGTGGAAGAGTTGACGGAAGCTCTATTAGCTAAATACAAAACTCAAATAAGTCTATGACAGCATGATTATTTGAAGTTGCATCAAACATTGCCAAATGTCTTACTAAAATCGATCTGTCTGTGTGTGTATCTCCTTACAGCCTGGATGACCTGTTGCGTTGTGGTGTCTCATTTGCTGCCAATATGGTGGTTGTTGACAGGGAGAGCACCATGAGCGCTAAGGAAGACTATATGGCTGATGCAAAAACCATTGTTAATGTCCAGACCCTGTTCAGGTCAGAGACTGTTTGAGATTTTCTTAGATTTCTCAAAAGATTAATCACTTACGTGCATTTAAAATGACAAAACACATCACACTATTGAATATCAGATAGGATACAGCCATGTGCAGTAATAAATGCATGTTTGTTGAACAAACCCTTGTGATAAAGAAGTCCAATTTAGCATACTTTTAAAAAGAGCTCTTATAAAAATAATTTAAGTAAATCCAAACTGATTTGCAGTGTTTTCGGTATGGAATTTGCAATATTATTTGCAATTAAATGAAAATGTGTTATAGTTTAAATTTATATTAAACGCAATAAGTTGAACTTAAGAGCGCTTTTTGACCCACTTACATAAGTTTCATATTTATGTCAGCTTCGGTTGAAAAATGTGGACCTAATTGATCTACATGCAGCAGTTATAGATTTGAAAAAAAACTCAGAACACTCGAAAACTATAAGGAACAGATCAACCGATTATAACGTGACAAGAACAGACCATGAACTGAAAGATACACAGAGCTTAAATACACAGACAAGCTAATCAACACAATAAATGACAGGTGTAACTGATAATCCAACCATGAAAAACAATGGAAACAAACTGAAACACAGGAACCTTAACTAAAACAAGTGCAAAACCCACCCAAACAGACATAAGACACAGATAGGCCTACATTCCCCTCCATCCAGAATGCATGCCTATGCGTCTTATAACAACAATAAAAAAGTCCAACAGAGGAGGACAGGACGGGTCTTGGGTGGAGGACCCAGGCACAACGCATGAACACAGAAACCAGGACAGAGCAAACAACAGGAAAAGCCAGGGAGGAGACGACGGCGGAAGCCAGGGTGAAATCCCCAGCTGGAATCCCATGATGAATGCCCACAGTGGAGTTGAGGGAGGGAGGAGCCATGGCGGAGACTTGCTAGATGGAACCAGGGGGATGACCGACTGAGGCAGAGTTGATGGTGGTGGAGACCCAGGCGGAGAGTGGGCGACACTGAAGGTCCTGGAGACCAAGGCAGAGCTGTGGGGACTAGTGGCCGAGGTGAAGCCAGGGTGCCGGAGGACTGAGGCTCAGCCGGTATGCCTGAGAACTGAGGTGGAGCTGGAGGGAAGACGGAGCCAAATGGGTGAAGGGACGAGTCATAAACGAAGGGCCGTAAGTCCATGGCGACGGCAGAGTGACGCCTGACCAAGGCATAACCGGAAGGACTAGGAAACCCAGGTGACGCCGAGGTGGAGGGACGGGCACGGAGGTCCTAAGCTGAGCAAACGGATCGACAGTCCAGGGCTGAGCTGGTGAACTATCAGCCCGAGGCAGATCCATGAAGCACAGAGCAGGTAATGTAGGAGGAGACGAAGGGCTGATGAGAGGCAGTGTAGACAGGGCTGGTGGACTGAGCAGTGCAGGCAGGGGTTTAAGAAACAACCTTCTAGGTACCGGACAGACAGATGGTCCTATTGGCTGACGTGGAATAGACAGAATTCCCAGGGTGCTGGGTGAGAAACATACTCGGTGCTATCCTCCATATCCTCAAATAAAATCAGGGGTTCTGAGTTCAGCGCATCTACATCAGCCATAGTCGAAGGGAACAGGCTCCACCTCGTATTACACCAGTATAGTCTCTAGGACAGATGATATTAACCACCCACGCACAACTTGTACGGCACGGGGGTCCGGTGTGATAAATGTGACTGGCTGGCATCGACTCTGGAATTGCGGCAGGCTTGTGCCTGCAGTGACATAGTGATTTAGTCCATGCACTCCTGGAAGCTCCCTCAAGGTCGATCTCCAGGCAGGCACGCTCTCGTCTCCACGTTGAGACAAAAACACGTGGAAAAACACACAGGCAAAAAGACATAAAACAAAGGTAATCTCTTAACCTTTATATGTAATTTCATAATATACGTTTTCATTACCCATTTTGGTAACACTTTATAATAACTGCATGCTATTAATCATTTGTTAAGCATGAGTAAACAGTTAATTGATCATTTATAAAGCATTAATAGACATTAATAAGCAGTTTATAAATACAGCTATAAACGCTTTTTTTCTTGATTTATAAGCATATCTATAATGCGTTTAATAATTGTATTTTCATACTTTGTTAATGATCAATTAATAATTTCTAAATGAAGTATAGCATTATTTACAAACAAGAGTTGTCAGTCATTCATAAGATCACTTAGAAAGTGTAAGTAAATGTAGTAAATAGTAAATACAGGTAGTTATAAAGCATTTAGTAGTGGTCAGTTAACTATTTTGTGAGCTAGTCTAAAATGAGGACTATTCATGCGTTGTAAAGCATTTATAAAGGAGATTTGAAGGCGCATCAATCTTCTAAACAGTAAAATGTAACAAACACAACACAGTGATACAGAACATAGAAATATTTAACAGCCTTTAAATCTCCTTTATAAATGCTTTACAAGGCATGAATAGTCCTCACTTTAGATGAGCTCACAAACATAGTTAACTGACCACTACTAAATGCTTTATAACTACCCGAATTAACCCTGAATTACAGCATAAATACATGTTAATAAAGCATTTATTAACACACTAAGTAACCATCACTATATGTCTGAATAATAAGATGTATGAATGTACATTTAAATAGTTTATTAATCATTTACTTACACGTTCTAAGTAATCTTGTGAACCACTGAAAACTCTTTAACTGGTTTATAAAAAATGCAATTATTCATTTAGAAATAATAAATTGATCATTAATAAAGGATGAAAATACAATTATTAAATAAATTATGGATATGCTTGTAAATCAAGAAGAAAGCATTTATAGCTGTATTTATAAACTGCTTATTAATGCTTTATGAATGATGAATTAACTGTTTACTCATGCTTAACTAATGATTATTAGCGTGTAGTTATTATAAAGTGTTACCAACATGGTATTCTAGCTTCATGCATTCTTTTTTTATTAACACTTGAATGTGGATAAGTTTCATAAAAAAGCAACATTTTAGACAAAAAGCTGAGAAAAATGGTCTTTTTGTCAAAGACTTTGTCTGGATCGGATTCAGAACAATGTTAAAAACAAAGATGGAGTAGATCGCTTCCATCAACACCCCAAAGCTGCATACTGGCCGTATACCTCTCCATGGGCTTCAACATTTCATTCAGTATCAGTAGGCAGTTTTTATTTATATGCTGTGGAATGTTTGATGATTACGTTAGCTTACATGTGTGTAAGCAATGCTTCGATCGCTTCTTTCTGCTTCTTCTTCTTCGCTTGTTTTTGGATCCTTAAAATTGGATGCGTAATAGCGCCCCCTAGTACCGTATCACATGAAAACATCGATCGCCGGAAAATTCTGTCAATGGGCTATATGCACGCATAACTTCCGCGTTTGACGCAAGGATGCTCTTGCGTTTCCGGTTGGGGAGATTTAAAGCGGAGGAAAATGAGGAAAACGGGATTATGGCAGAGTCTTCCAAATTTACTGTCCTCTCGTCTTTGAAATGAAACTTGAATACGTTTAGATGTAATTTTATATATAGTTATGTTTATTTAATATAATAAACAAAGAAGCATAAACAAAATGAGGGGTGTCTGTTTTGTCTGTTTTTGTGACTAACGTTTCTTTAGTATAGCAATAGAGTATAAATATAAATTCTCGGTATAGCATTGGACTCTACGATCGGCGGAAGTAATCCAGCATCCTTAGACCTTCACCGGAAATACCGCCGTGCATAGAGCCCATAGGCTTTATGCCGAGCGTCACGTGACCAAACCGGAAAACAGGTCTCATTGCATCCGCTTGTCAGAGACAAGGGGGTAATCCATCGCCCGGAAGTTGAAGCCGGCCGGGTGCCGCCATGTTGTAGCAGAACTTCACTTGCGTTAGCATTTCCATTGACTCCCATTCATTTTGGCGTCACTTTGACAGCGAATAACTTTACATCTGAGGCGTTTAAAGACTCCATTTGTCCATTATTTATTTCTAAAGAAACACGACAATGTATAAAGGGCTCCATTACCTTCTATGTTACATTATGGCCCCGTAGAAACAGATTTAGTAAAAATAGGCTAACAAATGCGTCATAACCACTCGACTCTCTGTCGCGCTGTACAGAAATTACCGTACAGACAGGAGGAGAAGCTCGCAGGCGATCGGGGGGACGTCCCGTCAAGGGAGAAGCCCATAGATAATGAGTCCATAAAAGCAACGGAATACTTACTCCTGCTCACTCACGCCAAAGAACTCTTTGCTCAAGTTCCCCGTCTCTGCAAGATTAACGTTGGCAATTTTCACGCACAGCTACTAGAAGATTAACGTCTGTCAGACAGGTTGCTCACGTCATCAAGCTTAGTTTGAGTCCGTTTGAGTCTGCGCGTCAGGAACGGAAGTGCTCAGAAATCGCTAAAAGTGGGCTTCAACTGTCTCAACTGAGTTCCAATGAGATGGCTCTGTCCACTTCTTATACTGTCTATGGTCAGAGAAAGTGTTAACGGCCGTAAGAACTAACTACGATATCTATGGATGTTTAAGGTAATCAGCTAACCTACTAAGTTCACTTTGTTATTGGTGTTTTATGCTATTTAAATATCTAAACGTTAGTGTGAAGAAGAAAAATAAAAAAACTTTTAAATATCAATCTGCACATGCGAGGGACATTGGTTATGCTCATTTTTGCTTGCTCCTTTTAAGTTATCTTGAGTAAAACCGCAAAAAAATTCATGAAGCACATACAAAAGACCTGAATCGGAAGCGATGTGATCTGTTTTCCGGCTTGGTCACGTGACGCTCGGCATAAAGCCTATGGCAGGGAAAGAGTTAATATGATTTATACTGAAACTTGTATGTCATGCATTTAAATATATTTGTAATTACACAATTATAATGATGAAGTGGCAATTTAGTGCACTTAAAATATTAACTTTAGTGTGTTATTTGATATTACATTTAAAGCACATGTAAAATCCTAGATTATATTTTTAACTGTAGTATGTTAGTCAACACATCAAAATACACTTGTGACCTTTTATATTACTATTATTTATATATATATATATATATATATATATATATATATACGTATATATACTTTTATATATATATAATATAAATACTTTTAAGATTTAAGTACACTATAAGTGCATATTCAATACATTTAAGCACACTTCATTTTCACAAGGGCACTGAAGATCTTGTAAAGTCATTGAAATAGTCACCAGTCTCCTGTAAATGACTTGTTTGTAGGCTGTTCTCTGGTCTCAACATCATCACAGAGTTAACTCATCCCGCTAACATGAGATTCATGCAGTTCTGCGCAAAGGACTGTCACTCACTGGAATTCTCCAAACTGGAGAAGGTGAGCAGAAATTCATAACATGCTTTTGTCACTCTTATTACATTAAATCATAAAAATATTGATTTTGGCTTGATTAATCTGTTTGGTCCTAACCCTTCTTTTTCATGTTTATCTGCATGGCTTTATGGAGCAGAAAGAAAAAGAGAAAGGCTCAAACTTATCCTTCATATTTCGCCTGCCTTTTGCAGCTGGTAAGGTGTTCAGCATTAGCATGCTGGACACACTCCTCTACCAGGTAACTAACACCCCTCTGCTAAAAGAAATGTGCTGCCCGTTGGCCTGAAATCATACTACCTGCTAATGCCCACTAGATGGCAACATGGCGATAAAAAAAATCTTCATTAGCTGAAAACCAATATATCTATACTACTGTTCAAAATTTTGGGGTTGGTATAATGTTTTTAAAATAATAAATACTTTTAAGCAAGGATTTACTTTTCAATGGAAATTTTTATTTCTGTTTTATTTTCAACTTTCCCTTGTCATGGTTTCCACAAAAATATTAAAGGAATAGTTCACTTCTAAATGAAAATTCTGTCATCATTTTTTAGGCTACTCACCCTCAAGTTGTTCCAAATCTGTATGAATTTCTTTCTTCTGCTGAACACCAAAGATATTTTGAAGAATGTCGGTAACCAAACAGTTAATGGACCCAATTGACTTCCATAATATTGTATTTCCCTTTAAGCAGCTAAACTGTTTTCAACATTGATGATAATAATAAATGTTTCTTAAAAAGCAAATCGTCGTATCAGAATGATTTCTGAAGGATCATGTGACACTGAAGGCTGGCGTAATGATGCTGAAAATTCTGTGTTGCATCACAGAAATAAACTACATTTTAAAATATATAATATAACAACAGTTATTTTAAATTGTAATAATATTTCACAATATTACAGCCGTGATGAGCATGATGCAATATTACAGCCTTGATGCTGCTGGAAATTGTAAATGTTCAGACCTTCAAATTTGTCCATAATTGTGTTATAAGTGCTTCTGTTGTTTCAGAGTTTTGTTAAGGATTATATAATAACCATCACCAGACTACTGCTGGGACTGGAAACTACACCAAAATCTGGTTTCCTGTGCGCTGTAAGTGTGACTTTTACAACATTAGCCAGTCCACATATCCTCATTCTGTTCAATGCTATTATTTATGTTGTTTCAGCAGTGTTAAAATGTGGCACATTACATTTCAGTTGAGTATCAAAGAGGAGGACTTGTGCATCCAGACGTACGGCACACTGTACCAAGTGCTGTCCTCCACTGTAGGAGACATTCCCATCGGCATCTACAGGACAGAGTCTCAGAAAGTTCAACCTCCCGAGGTTTCATTATGTTCAGTGCAAAACATACTTACATACTTTTAGGTCAGGAGAAAGAGTTTCTGATTAGCTGGAAGGTGTGCACCATTTAAAACCATTTAATGCACAGGTAGTTCCAGTCAGTTCAATCACCGTTCTATTTTAATGCGCTGCTTTTATTGAAGCACACACACACCTAGATGGGCGATCACACTGCTCATACACAGAAACATTCAGGAGCAGAGGAACTTGTTTTCATCGCTGTCCCGCGACATATATTAATGAATTAGCTTCGCTACTTAATTGCTACAATATATTTCTCAGAAACGAGGGGGTAATATCGCTGTTTTTGAAGTAATTAAACTCACAGCTTCATTATTTTTAGAGAGAGATGCTGCACAGACGCAGGTAATTCCCACACTCATCTCTCTCTCTCTCTCTTTAATTCAAATAAATGCTATAAGGGGTGGAAATGGCCGAAAGTTACTAGGGGGACCCTAGTTGGGATCATATTTTATATTTTTAAACCTTAGATGCAGAAAATCCCACTGTATTTCTGAATGTAATTTGACCATTTGAAGGCTATTACGTGGATAAAAGATGGGAATCCTCTACATTTTAAACTGGAACTCCATTCCCCCTAGAAATTGACTTCCTGGACTCAGATGTAATTTAGTAGATAGTAGATTTACCGAGCTGTAACTGACAAAATTAACCGTCATTTTTACCCTTCCGCTCAAATATTGCGCGCCAAACGTCAATAACAGCTTGTCAATGCTGGTAAATGACCATGATACAAGCGGGGTAATCCAAGGCTTCGCGTCGGGGTGTTCTTTGCCTCCATATTGTGCATTTAAAATCATTTAATGCACAAATACCCATTGATTATCCCTCACATAAGTGATAATTATCATGCAAACAACTGAATATGCAATAACACAAATTAGATCTATTCAGTCAACATCCGTTTTATCAATGGATTTTTTCCATTTCTCCCATAGGGATTTAAAAAAAAGTTTCGTTAAAGAGTTATAAGCCATGAAACAAGCCAACCAGCTACGAGGTGAATCATAACATTACAAACTCTGATTTGAAGCACAAAGTATTTGAAAATCAGACAAAAATAATAGGGTACAAGACTGTAGTCTTAACGGCTTTGGTGATAGAAAGAACTACAATCCCATGAAACATTGCGAACAGCAAGTTAAAACAATGACGAAATATAAAACAACTCATTTAAAAAATGTTGATTATATATATACACTCACCTAAAGGATTATTAGGAACACCATACTAATACTGTGTTTGACCCCCTTTTGCCTTCAGAACTGCCTTAATTCTACGTGGCATTGATTCAACAAGGTGCTGAAAGCATTCTTTAGAAATGTTGGCCCATATTGATAGGATAGCATCTTGCAGTTGATGGAGATTTGTGGGATGCACATCCAGGGCACAAAGCTCCCGTTCCACCACATCCCAAAGATGCTCTATTGGGTTGAGATCTGGTGACTGTGGGGGCCATTTTAGTACAGTGAACTCATTGTCATGTTCAAGAAACCAATTTGAAATGATTCGAGCCATTGTGACATGGTGCATTATCCTGCTGGAAGTAGCCATCAGAGGATGGGTACATGGTGGCCAAAAAGGGATGGACATGCTCAGAAACAATGCTCAGGTAGGCCGTGGCATTTAAACGATGCCCAATTGGCACTAAGGGGCCTAAAGTGTGCCAAGAAAACATCCCCCACACCATTACACCACCACCACCAGCCTGCACAGTGGTAACAAGGCATGATGGATCCATGTTCTCATTCTGTTTACGCCATATTCTGACTCTACCATCTGAATGTCTCAACAGAAATCGAGACTCATCAGACCAGGCAACATTTTTCCAGTCTTCAACTGTCCAATTTTGGCGAGCTCTTGCAAATTGTAGCCTCTTTTTCCTATTTGTAGTGGAGATGAGTGGTACCCGGTGGGGTCTTCTGCTGTTGTAGCCCATCCGCCTCAAGGTTGTGCGTGTTGTGGCTTCACAAATGCTTTGCTGCATACCTCGGTTGTAACGAGTGGTTATTTCAGTCAAAGTCGCTCTTCTATCAGCTTGAATCAGTCGGCCCATTCTCCTCTGACCTCTAGCGTCAACAAGGCATTTTCGCCCACAGGACTGCCGCATACTGGATGTTTTTCCCTTTTCACACCATTCTTTGTAAACCCTAGAAATGGTTGTGCGTGAAAATCCCAGTAACTGAGCAGATTGTGAAATACTCAGACCGGCCCGTCTGGCACCAACAACCATGCCACGCTCAAAATTGCTTAAATCACCTTTCTTTCCCATTCTGACATTCGGTTTGGAGTTCAGGAGATTGTCTTGACCAGGACCACACCCCTAAATGCCATGTGATTGGTTGATTAGATAATTGTATTAATGAGAAATTGAACAGGTGTTCCTAATAATCCTTTAGGTGAGTGTATATATAAACGATATATTTTTGGTTTATTGCAAAATATGTATGTATATTCAAATTATTTTGTATTTTGAGAGCATAGGGAGGCTGAGTCTTTTTTCAAGCTTCGTGGGAGTGGGCGGAGCTAATGAGATCTTTTGGCGTGTTTTGCCTGTTTTAAACCGCTGATTGATGTAATTTTCTATACAGCATCATGGCTAATGTAAGTTTGAGTTATTAACGTAATAATGCGTGCTGACGGCTTCAATAAATGCAAATACTATCAATTAACAACCAAAGTAGCTCACAGGGCTGTCTTTAAAGGTTTATAGGTTATTGTTTAAAATCTATTTTTACTTCCAGAACCCAGCTGTTGCACTCTATTGTTTAAACGTTTGGGGTCGGTAAGTGTTGAAAAGGCCTGCTATGCATATATTGAGACATTAGCGCCCCCTTGTGACTTTAGGACGCATTACTATGATGACTCAGTATTTTTCCCTTTAACGGTTCAATATGAATAGAACGCAGTTCTGAGGGCTCGAATAGAGGTTGCGAGTGTCCCGCTGTTATCGTTGCTGTTGTTGTTGCAGAGTGCGTTCATATACAAGTGAGTGATTTGTTGTTATTCATTATCTTTAAAGAGCTGTAATTTTAATGTAAGTTCGATTGTATTTGCGTGTAGTTAGTTATAATCGCGTATGTACGCAACACCCATTGTCTATTACATCATCCATATCTACGGCGCTAGTAAAAGCATACAGAGACAGCTATACATAGATATTTATGTATAATATTGTAATTATGAGTCAATTTGGGTATGTGTATGTTCTATTTACCGTGACATGGAGATTGTTAACATTATTTTAAACCATATGTATCGATTCACGTGAGCTCACGTGTCAGAGAACGTGATGCCATTTTTCTTGAGTGCTAATCTAGTTCCTACATGTCTGAATCGATTGCTATGTGTATAACTATGTACATAATGTACGTATAACTGCCATATTGAGTTAATTCTTGTGATTATTGTTCATTACTAATTTAGTATTATTATTTTCTGTTTGTTTAGAACCACTCATACTACATTACACTCCAAACTACTCTACCATACCCTCTACTACTTGTACTTCACTTGTTTACTCAATCTAATTCTAAGACTGTAAATGCCTCTATAAGCCTCAATCCATTAAAGAGTACTTCGTCTCTGACCGGACGACTTATGTCTGCTCAATATCCACCAGCAACACAATAGTCTACCCAATAAATGGTCCTTCGAGCCGGAGTTGAGGAGCTGTCATAAGAATGATGCATCAGAGTGATCCAGATCCTAGGCCTGACCTTCCTGAGCCCACCATCAGACCCAGACGAGCGGTGAGGCTCCCTAGTTACCTGTCAGACTTTGAGCTCATTGATCATGAACAGAGGCTTCAGTCAAGACGGAGAGTAGATTCTTCCCCTGAGATGAGTGATGATTCAGAATCCCGAGGAGCGGCTGCACCCAAACTCTCTGCCACCTCCCCTGAGTATAGAACAAGTATGCAGCCATGGCAGCCTCTAATAGAGTGGAGTCCCAGTAGAGAGTACGGACAACAGCGAGCACATACTTCTCCCCTCCCTGAGCTGTCGTCAGAAGTATTAGTAGAGTTCCAGCAGTTGCGGAAGGAGACTGAGGAGGTGCGACGCCATTCCTATGAGCAGATAAAGAAACTGGAAGAGAGGAATGAGGCTCTGGAAGCACAGTTGAGCCTACTTGCAGTAAGTGATCGATCCATTCGCCATCCACAGAGTACATCTTCCCCTGTTCCTCAACCCCGTGTCCATACTCCGCAGATCACTACTATTGCCAGGCCCATCCCTCTGCCTAGATCCAAGCTACCTCAGAGGCTAATTGACACCACAGCAGAGTCATTAAGACAAGATCGCCTGCATGACTTAGAACAGAGGCTTCAGCAGCTGGAGAGGACGTCACAGCCTAAGTACGCCTGACACACACAACGTCAGTTTTGCCCACAGACATCTTACGACAGAGTTGATGATAGCAGAAGTGGCTACAGCTCAAACAGATTACGTATTCCTCCCAGTCAAGAGAGTACCTATAGGGGACCATCTCCCACCATCCCAAACTTCGTTAAGCCAGATCCTAGAGATTTCTCGCGACTGCGTATCGCTCTGGAGAACATCTTGCCAACGGACGCTACAGAGAGGTTTAAGTACCAGATTCTCGTCGATCACCTGAAGTTTGAGGAATCACTGCTGATTGCAGACTCATATTGCAACTCATTATTCCCTTTCTCAGAGACTATGGATGCGCTTAACCAACGGTATGGACAGCCCCACCAGTTGGTACTTCAGCGAATAGCCGAGCTTATGGACGGTCCAAATGTCAGTCACGGAGATGTGAAAGCCTTTCGGATGTTCGCATTGAAAGTTCGTTCGCTAGTGAGTATGCTTCAGCAACTGGGGAATAAAGGCTACGTGGAGCTAGAGTGCGGTTCTCACGTATCAAGACTGTTGTGTAAGCTTCCACATGATCTGCAGACAAGTTTTCGACGGTCTGTCCATCCACAACAAGTTCCTATC